CATCCTTCATTGTAGGTGTTGCTGTATGGGTCGAGGCGCCGAGCATTGGCGATGAAGGCCACCTGCTCTTGGGGAGTGGAGGACTCCCTCATCGATTGACAATCCTCCACCAGGTGATTTGGGCTCTCACACCACTGACACTGAGCTACTGGAGGCGTAGCTACACCTCGGCCCGGAAGGAGACTGTTAGGCTGCTTCAATGTCTGCACCAACTCAGCCACCTGCTGCTCTAACCCGGACCTGGCCTCCATAGCATGCACACCACGGTCCCGGGAATGCCTACCTCTGCTGCTCTGCCCCCAAGAATGATCGCGGGCAGCCAAGGTACTAATCATCTGGTTCAGCTCGGGTGGAGTCTTAGTGAGAATATCCCCTCCTGGGCATAGAGACTCTATCACCCTCTGGCTGTCTGGGGTGAGGGCACTGTAGAAGTTCCCTACTGTAAAGGCATCGCTGAAACCATGATGGGGACACTGCCAGAAGTATCCCATGTACCGCTCCCATGTATCACGAAGGGACTCATCTGGCTCTTGGCGGAAGTGAGTGATCTCCCGCTGTATCTCCGTGGTCTTCGATGCCGGATAATACCTGTGCACGAACTTATCCGCCAGATCGTCCCAAGAAGTGATGGACAAAGGGGGCTGGGTCTCCAACCACCTCTTAGCATTCCCCGCCAGAGAATGGGGGAAGAGGTGAAGGCGGATTGCATCATCCGGGACACCGTTCAGCTTGAACCCGTTCGTCAGCTGCAGAAAAAGGAAAAGATGTACCCGGGCTTCCTCATCCTTCAAGCCATGGAACTGGATAGAGGATGTGATGAGCTGAATCCAGCCTGGCTTGATCTCAAAGTTGTTTGCAGGAATGGGTGGATAGAGGATGACCGGGCGGATGTCAGCAATCCGCGGAGTGTAGTAATACTCCAAGGTGGGACCCGGCAGTGGTGGTGGATGCTGATTCACCGGGGGAGCCTGTCGAGCATTCCCCGGTTGTGGGATGTCTTCGCCCTCCATCTCGTACTCTTCCTCAGAATCACTGGTCAAGTGGCCGTCTATGCGCTCTCCCGTAACCAGTCTAGCTCGCTGCTGTCTCCTAAGTTGGCGGCAAGTGCGTTCAAGCTCTGGATCCAATGGCAGTAGACCTCCCGACTGGCTACGGGTCATGCACTATCTGCACACAATCAAGCAATGCAAACCCGTGAAGGCACAAGTGGGAAAAACAAAAACTCAATGCAAAAATGAAAATGCTAAAGTAACAGAAATCACTTTTCTTCAACAACCTAGCCGTCCCCGGCAACGGCGCCAAAAACTTGACTCGCTGTTACTGTCACTCTAGAAAATGGCCAAGTGTAACCACTTCCTAAAGCGTAGTATAGCGGGTTTGGGTTTTATTATCAACCCGGGTCCTAGATGTGATGATTACTCAGTGAATTCGTATTATCTAGCAATGAAACTTTAGTGAAGGCCTAAACTAACAAGCAAGCAAAGCAACTAAACGGTTGTATTCAGGTTAAGAGAGGTCACCCGGATATGGTTCCCCCTAGTCTGCAGTTAAGCCGGATTGTAATTGCCAAGATCGATTTCTATGAAAGTTATACTGCGGAAGGTTCTCAATCAGTCTGAAGTCTCGACTAAAGGTCTTCAGACCCTCTCAATCTGAGTCTCTAGCTGGCGACTAACCTACATCGGAGTAAACAGATTGAGGCCCTATGAACAAAACCTCCACTACCGAATGGAATTCGGTACAGAATAGTGAACTGGCTCCTCGACTAAAGTCACCAATTCACTACCTTCGATTAAGGATACTCTATCAACCTAGGCAGATATTATCATTCTAGGTTAAAGCAGAAACAACAAGAATTTGATCAGGATTCATGCCATTCAATCATTCAAACCTCAATCGAATATAATCAATATCATAGAATCAATACTTGGGTTCATACAATCAAACCTAACATACAGAACTAGGGTTTCCCACACCCAGATGAATGGGAGAACTACTCCATGGAGAGAGAAGCAAAAGCAGAATCAGACGCGGAAATCATACTGTGAAGATGGATTTCTACTCCTGGACGTTGAATCGGCACTACTCCAAGCTCAAACCAAGCTCCAATGGTGTTGAAGATCGATCTAGGGCACTTGGAGGCTCTTGTTCGTCGCTTTCTCTCTCTAGGAACCGCTCTGTCTCTCAAAAACTCGAATCTCCTTCTGTTTGGCTCGGAATCCGCTTAAAAACCAGGCTTTCCCGACTTGCACGGCCAGGGTGCACGGCCGTGCACATCACCATTCTGGCCGTGCACCATGAAACGCACCGTATCAATTATTGTGTCTTCGTCCATCTTGCACGGCCAGGCGCACGGCCGTGCAAGCTTCATGGCCTGCCCGTGCATGGCCTCGGCGTGAGGCGCACGGCCAAATGGCTCAAGTGCACGGCCGTGCAGCCTCCTGGTCTGCCCGTGCACTCCCCAAAAAGCTCGCCCTTCGTCCGTTCTTCGTCCAATCGACCCCAGACTCGCTCCTAATCCTTCATTCACGTACTAGGACCTGAAATAACACAAACAAGCACAACCTAGCGTGAAATCGGCCTAAAACACGAGAATCAACACCTCAAACGGTGTAAGTATGAGGGTAAAAACATGTGTAAATGACGGTCTATCACTCAGACCCTCTTGAAGGTGCTGATGATTCAGCACCAGATTCAGATTCAGATAATGATCATGATGTGGCTCCTGACCGTGTACCAGTCCCCTACTACAATCACATTCCAGACGACAATTGGATGGTCGACAGCGACATGGAGCCGCCAGAGGTCCCAATATGGGGCCCACTCACTGGGTTTACGAAGGGCCAACAATTTGGCTCGAAGAAGGATGTGCGGCACGCCCTTGAGACTGAAGCAATGACTCGGCATTTTGAATGGCACACAACTCATTCCAACACCAAAAGGCTCATAGTCAGATGCCGTAATCATCACGAGGGGTGCAATGTTAGGATTCGGGCCATCAACAGCAAGAGACACGCACACCGGTTTGCCGTCGATGGGCAGATGTGTTAGGATGGCGACATCCTTTAGCGTGATGGTGGCCTCTCCTTCTCTAAAGTTGAAACAATGGGTCTCCTTTCTCCATCTCTCGGCTAATGCGGTGATGAGTTGGCGATCGATTTGGATGCCGTTAAAATGCCTAATCGAGTCTAACCGTGCCCTTTTGAGAAAGGGCAAGATAGCTGGGTGGAATGGGAGCACATTGGTGGTACCCCTATAGCGGATTATTGTTTGTGACTCCTAGCAAAAATGTACACGTTAATTATTATTAGTAAGGGTTTTTTTTCGTATAACTAAATTAATTAAATTAAATTATGCGACATAAAACATAATTTTATTATCATAAAAAGACATTTCATATTATCATAAAACAAACGTCCTAAATTAATTAACATAATAACATTGTCAATGAATAATAATTTAAAGAGGTACATACATATTATCGTAAAACAAACATACTAAATTAATTAACATAAATAACATTGTTAATGAATAATAATTTAAGTAGAAACATACATATTCAAATGTTTGGTAAATAATTTAATCGTATTAGCTGTTTTAAATAATTTAATCGAATACAAAGCAACACTCGTTAGACTCTTAGAAGAGGTATACATCTTCTTAGAAACGCAGTCTTTTTGACAGAAAAAGGGGGGATCCGAGGATCTCTTAATACCCGATTTTCCCAGGTAATGGGAGGATATGATAATCGCTTAAAACCCCATTTCCTTAGACGTGCATCTCTTATAAAGAGTCGAAGTAAGTGGCGCTATGTATTCGATTAAATTATTGAAAACAACCAACACGATTAAAAAATAAACATAAATTAATTTTATATTACACTAGGCACATTAACAAAATAAAAGAAGGACAAATGGTGAAGAATTGTATGTACCGGGTGATCGTTCCAAACATCCCTTGACCGATGGTTGGGTTGGTCGTACAAGTCGATTGGATCCACCGGTCATTGCTCGAGATAATACCGTTGGTTGTATATATCGACGTCCTCCCCAACCTACGAGAAAATAACAACGAGGTTAGTACATAGATTAATTAAAAAACTTATAACAACAACAAAAATTAAACTAGAATAATGAGTACATACCGCTTGAAATTCATCAACATAAACTCCTTCTCCTTGCCACCAATCGGCCATTTTTTCGGCGTAATTCGGACAGAGCTTCGGCTCGACTCGGAGGGTTTTGAGGAAAAAACCTAAGAAATGTTTTCTGATGGCAGATCGGACTTAGCCGCAACCAACAGACCACTATTTCCTAGGCTTTTGGGAGGGGAGGGTTTAGAGAGATAAATTGTAGAGAGAGAAGGAAGAATGGGTTGTGGTGTGAAGAAATGGGAGGGGGAGGGGGGGTATTTATACCCATCAGACCGCACCCCCCAGGGGCGGTCTGGTAATTTTGGCCTAAGCAAAACCGCTCCCTCCCGACGCGTTTTGCGTTTACCTAGGGCTGACCGCATCTCGGGCGTGCGATCTGCAGTCCTTGGCGCGGATCGCTCCCCTGGCAAGCGTTCAGCCGCCCGATCGCGCCTCCATCCAACAGTTTTGAAGACCGTTCCGCAGCTGGCGCGGATCGCATCGCTGGCATGCGTTTCTTCACAGAGACCGCACCTCCATGATGCGTTTTATATGTAAACCGCATCCTGCGGTTTACATATAAAACGCATCTTGGAGGTGCGTTCCATAAATATATGTGCTATTTCTGTCAATTTTTTCATATGTGTGCTAGTTTTGTAATTTTTTTTTAGGGTGCTATTATTGGAAAAATCTCGAATACCATGGCTTGAAAAACCTCTGTTTTTAAGTGCAGATGGTTTTGAGAGGTACGGTACGGATCCAACTTTCCATTTGGGCTTAATTTATGTTATGCCTTCCTTCTTCTTCTTCTCTTCTTCCTTTCCCCCCGTCTTCCCAATGGCTGCATTCACGACTGTTTAATTATCAGATATGCTATCGTGGAGGAACTGGCAGCCCTAGGGGCCACTGTCTACACATGCTCCAGAAATAAGGCAGAGCTTGATAATTGTTTGAAGGGTTGGAAAGAGCTGGGTCTGCAGGTAACCGGTTCGGCCTGTGATTTGACCTCTGCATCTGAAAGACGGAAGCTAATGCAGGCCGTATCCTCTCAATTCAACGGAAAGCTTAACATCCTGGTGAGTTGAGTACTTCCCAGGCCGGCCTTGTACAAGGATGGTTGGATCTCACTTTTCAGTAATTCAATTTTGATCTGGTGCTGAAACTTGTTGTGGGTTGTAGATCAACAACGCTGGGGCAAATGTAGTTAAACCCACTCTGGAGTTCACGGACGAAGATTACTCCCTTCTGATGCGTACAAACATGGAGTCGGCATTCAGCCTGAGCCGACTTGCACATCCTCTTTTGGCGAATTCCGGGGCAGGAACGATCGTGTTCATGGGATCTGCTGCGGGTGTCACATCTCTGAATGTTGGCAGCATATATGGGATGACCAAAGGTACATACTTCTAATCACTATGTTTTGAGTTAAAAGGAATCTACGCAAATCCTTCTAGACTTCATCATCTAACCTTTTGTTTTGCAGCTGCAATGGTTCAACTAACCAAAGATCTAGCATGCGAATGGGTAAAGGACAACATAAGGATCAACTGCGTTGCACCTTGGTTCATCAAGACTGCCATCAATGAGAGCGTAAGTAGTGTACTCAGATCTCTTTCTCGCGCAGCAGATTGATGAATGAAAGTGGAGATTTATGAAGTTGGCTTTGCAGCAGCTATTGAAATGTTGTAATGTAGGGTTTGGTTTTATGTTGTGTTTTGCAGTACTTTGAGAGCGAGGAGTTCTCAAAGTCAGTGAGAGCTCGAACTCCCATGGGACGAACTGGAGAGCCGGAGGAGGCGGCAGGGTTGGTTGCATTCCTCTGCCTTCCGGCGGCCTCTTATATTACCGGCCAGACTGTTGCCGTTGATGGGGGAGCCACTGTCCATTGCTTCACTCCACCTGGAAGTGGAAGGTCATGAATCAGATGGCATGTTCATCTCCTACTTTATAACCCTTTCACCAGGCAATAATAATCATCTACCAAATTGCTGATTGTGTTCCATATCACAGCTCCATTAAGGTGAAATCACTATTGTGCTTGAAGCATCGTCACAATGATGCTTCTTCTAGCCAAATTCATCCATCTATTTCCTACTCTTCTTCTGTTTCATATATAACTTCTTATACTGCTTATGATAACAATCCTAGCTAGATGAATCAAATTTGGTTGCAAACTTAGCAGAAACGTACCATGTGGTTATCCTTTACACGAAGGACTAGGAGTAATGTTGCTATAATTATTGTGTATATAAGGTGAAGGTATTGTGTATAATAGTGTGCGTTGAGTGTCTTGATTATCATTTTGTATTACTAGTGTGTTTTGGTTTTGAGAACATTTGTTTGGTAGTGTGCTTTGAGTATTTTGCCTATTATTCTCCAAGGATAAATAGAGTTTCAGGTTGTAAATAGCATGCATTTGTGTGTTTATTCAATCCATTGAAAATAAGTATGAGAACTGAGACCAACAATTAAACTTCATTTCATATAGTTTATGGATCTTCCATAAAACTCCACATGACAATGGACCAGGGACAATGCTAGTTGGAATTATGGATATATTGCAAAAGATTAATACAATAAGAAGAAATTTACATATATAACATAACTTGTGTCTTTATCAATTAAGCTAGCTAGCTTTTTATTCAGATTTCTCTTTACGTATACACTAATTAACCATTGAAGAACATTTATTTTAGGTATATCATCAACACCATTTCAAGAATTTGTATAGCAAACTCTCATCCAAGCTCAATTCTCGTCCATTTCCCATGCATCAGCACAACTTCATCCATATTTCAGACCTAGATTGAAATCCTGTAAGAAGAAAAGTACACGTACATAGTGTAAAGATAAAATGATTACCATTAATACAAACCGACTTCCGAAAAAAAAAAAAAAAATTCAAACACAAAAAAGAACATATACGTGACTTACTTGTTGCAGTCGATGTTGGGGTCAATAGGTACGGGGACATTGACACCACATAAGCTAGGGAGAGCCTTGGCGACAGGGGGATCGACGCGATAGGTGATGATGGCAGGTTTGAAGCACTTGCAGAGCTGTTGACGAATGGCGGCGGTGTTTGCCTCATCGTTCAACAGCTTAACATTGGAGCAACATTGGGTAGACGGTGAAGGGGCTTGCTTAGTGAGGAATGGCAAGCACGGCAGCAACTGAAGCAATGCACCTGGGCATGTCACGCCCGCAGCTTGCCCGTTCACTAGTGTACTTGTTGACGAGCCCATCATCATCAATGCCAACATGAAAGCTACTGTAGCTGTGCCATTCAGTCTACTGTTCACTGATGTCTTCATTGTGATTTTTTAATCTGATCAATACAACTTCTTTTATTTGAAAAAAAGTTGGAATAATTTTGCCGGTGGTGGGTGCTTTACTGATATGAGATGGGGCAAAGATAGCTATGTCTGTTTTGCTTTTATAGGCATCAAAGTGTGTTGGATAATTGTGGATTTGTTTCACCTATTACTATTATGGGTATCATTTGGAGAAAGGAAAACAATCTTGTTATGAATGAGATTTCATAGCATATATATTTAGCAGGCTATCTGATCTCATATCCATGCATGATATTTTCTCTTTTGGGTGTATTTAAGTCTTTAAGGGTTTTGTTAATAAATTTAATATATTTAGAGAAATCAATCTATAGAAATAGAAATGTGGGATAGTACTACATATATCATATTGGATCCTGATTATAAATTGAAAGACAATATGGTAAATTTAGCGTCATAAGTAGAGAGATTATCATGTTTATTAACAATATACAAAAATTTATGTATTCTTCTTCTTCTGTGTGCGCCTATGATACACTACCCTTGGTACTATAACTACATAAACATTTTATTAACATAATTCAAATGAATCAAAATAAGTTATAAAACTTCATTTTCTAGCATGTGATGTTCGAAGTAAATTGCCAATAAAATTATCGGAACGACAATGTGACAAAATTTACTGTCATAAGTAGAAAGATTATCATGTTTATTAAGAGTATATAAATTTTCATGTATTCTTCTTCTTCTGTGCTCCTATGATACACCCTTGTTTCTATAATCGCATAATTTTTTTGTCACAATTAAAATGAATCAAAATACGATCTAAAACGTAATTTTCTAGCATCTGATGTTCGAAGTCAATAGTCAATAAAATTGTCGAAACAAATGCCAACGAAAAATTGATTATGCATTTTAATGTATAACATGTTCGTCACTTTTTTTGTAAGGGTGAAATCTATTTTATTAATTAAGAATCTAGGAATTACAAACATATTAAGATATTATTACATTTCAGCTTATGATTCACATTCATTCCTTTAACCTATCCAGATAAAGGTTGGCAATCAATATAGAAACCAGCTTACTCCGTCATATCTTAACTTTCCCACTTGCATAGCTTCATTCAATACATGATAGCTTAATGCTTAGCACCCCACCAGAAAAGATCCTAATGCCTTACAAGTTTCCTATAGAGAAACCCTGACAGCCACAAGGAAGACATTACATGAATGGGAAGGGCATTAACCACTGCCTTTAGAAATACCTCTTTCACAGCCAAAAACAAACATCGTTGTTTCTAACCTTGTAACCGGCTGCGCAATTTTTTCTCCACATATCAGAACATCTCCATCTTTGACCATCAAGTTAAGGAAGAAAGGCCCAAGTTCGTAGCAATAACCTCGGTAGCTCCAACCTCAAGGATCATACCCAAATTGCACATAGGGCAAGACATTCTGGCTAAAACACACAACTGATTTATCAAGGTTCACTTTCCACCTACTTAGCTTCATGTGCATCTAATAAACCATGGAAGGTACGTAGAAACAAGTATGAGTCATCAGCAAAGAAAATGTATGATACTTTTAGGAATCAAGGACCGATTCGAAGGCTCCTAAGGCCCTGATTTCGAAAGCCTGCCAAAAGAGAGCGACAAATCCTTTAGTACAAATGGCAAAGAGCAAGGGGGATAGGGAGCCCTCCTAAATTAAAAGAGTCCCTTAATTGCTCGAAAATACCCCGAAGGACTACCATTTTGTATGACCGAAAAGGTTTAATATGATTCATAAGCCAGAAATCATCCATTGCGCACAAAACCCATGTTTATGAAACAATCCAAATAAAAATGATCATTCCATCCTATCATAAGTCTTTTCAATGCTAACCTTTAGTGTCATAAATCCCTACTTCCCTGTATGCTTTTTCCTCAAATAGTGAATGACCTCATGACCAATCATGACATTGTCAACAATATGATGCCTATGTAAAAAATTCATTTTGACTCAAAGAGATAGTCAAGGAAAAGAAACGAGTTAGCATTTTTGCCAGAATCTTTGCAATGATCATATAAACCAACTGACATAGACTAATCGGTCAAAATTGCTTCATATGTTCTACCGTGTTCACCTTCGAAATCAAACCAACCATATTTGATTCGCGTTCATTAATAGCGACCTAATAGAAGATAAATGGCTCACTCCACTCGTGACATCCCCATGATATCCCAATATTTCTTGGAAAAAAAAGTAGAGTAAAGCCACCAGATCCACAAGCATGAGTTTTCCAATATGGAATACAACACTACGGATCTCAATAGTAGTAACATGCATCATCAGTTTTTCATTCATTATGTTAGTCACATTAACCTCACTAGGAATTCAGCCACTCGAGCTTGAATGTCACTCGGATCAACACCTTTCTCCGTAAGAAGGTGCGGCAAATAAGTTAGAAGCCACTTCCGCCTTTTCAGCATCCCCTAGTGTTAGTGTGTTACCCAATGCATAGTGAACGAGAATAAACCATGTAATTTCGTCATCTTCTTGTATGTGTAACCAGATGAAAGTAGGAAGTGTAAGTTTTTATTATCCTCTTACAACGACTTTATATGCGACTTTTAATGTCAGAAAACCTCTTCATTGGTATGATACATATGCAAATCCTTCTCCAATTCCCTAATACGGTCCCAATCAACCTGAGGTTAAGAAAAAATCTTCTCTAGCCGAATTGGAGATTCCATCCTTTGTTAGAAACCGAACAGGAAAAATTAGGGTTACCGATCTGGCTGAGTCGCGGACTAGGTCGCTCTCTTTAAGACGTTCGCGGCACTGCCTCGCTATTCGCACAGCAGACTATCAGCCGGTCGCCTCCAGGATAAAACAGCCACTCTTTTGATTTGCTCAGTGGTTTTGTGCGGAAAACCGGAGCTCTTTGAATTTCACTCTCTCTCGTGTTTCTGCTCTCTGAGGTGTGTTTAGAGGGTCTGGGGCGTCTCCTATTTATAGGAGCAGAAAACCCAGAATATTCCCTCTTTCTTTGGGAATAAGTCATATTTTAATTAGGGAGATAATTACTCCCATAATTAAAATATAATCTATTAAGATAATTATTCCTAATTATCTCCATAATATTCCTTTTATTAATTATCAATCTTATTTATGTATTATGGGAAAATACTGGATAATTAATTAGGAATTTCATTTATAGCTTTTCAAAGCTATTCATCCCAACAATCCCCCACTTGAATAGTTTTGAAACTATCTTGAGCATCAACAGTTCCATAAGATCGGGCATAAGCTAAGGTATCGCGAAGATTTGAACCTTAACGTAGTGGTTACACTTCCGATTTCATAAGGGTGACTCGTAGTCTAGAACCCTATCTCAGACAATGTAGCACACCGGATCTTTTCATTGAGTGATATTCTCTCATAGGCCGTGCGTTTATGGCCATGCACGTTATCCCGGTTTAGTGAACGCTCTAGAAACTTTGTGCCTCCAAAGTTCCATAGGGAGCGGCCCCACTCCCACATTCACATAGGTGAGTCTATCAGAAGTACCCCCAAAGTAAAGTACTTCACTCCACATAGAGTATAGATCTCATTAAGAGTTTTAACTCAACCTCCAAGGCTTTGGGATTCATGCTTCACTATGCATGAACTTTTCTCAATATTACTCATGACTTGTTATTACCCATTGAACCCGTTTCTTGGGATCTCCAGTCTATCGGGTCGGGTTACCATCACTTGTAATCCATGGTTCGGTAGGCATAAGTCTCATACCCTTCGTGGTATTTTGGACTTTTCTCTCTAGGTAATCCTTTCGTCAAAGGATCAACTAGATTCTGTTAGGATCTCACATGATCCACCCTCATTGCTCTTATCGTTAGGAGTTCTCTTACAGTACTGTGCTTACGACGAATTTGTCGTCTCTTTTCGTTCTAGAACCGGTTCCCTTCTTTAGTAATAGTTGCGGTACTATCACAATGAATCATCTACCGGAGGGATCGGTCTTTCCCATAAGGGAATCTCTAGTAATGACCCTCTCAATCAACTTTCCTCTTTGCTAGCCATCGCTAGTTCTATCATTACTGATTTCTTAGTTGATTGAGGCAGGATCGTTTACTTCTTAGACTTCCAAAACTTAGCTTCTTTATCGATGTTTAAAACATAGCCTCTTGTTGTCTTGGAGTCCTCTATAGGGTATTCTAATCTGCATCACTATACCCTACCAATACAGCAAAACAAATACCAAGGTTTTTCTGTTCTTTTAAGGTGTCTCGTGACCCCTTTCAATAGCATTTCAATGCTTCATACTAGGACAATCAGTAAGCCTGCCAAGTACCCCCACTATATTGGGTCTCATGTTTATTAGTTGCCTCTCGCAGACTGTAGATGCTAGTATATTCTAACTTTCTTACACCGTCTTAGGTGTTCTTTAAATATTTATACGAGCATCATCAAACATGTATGCAGGTGTACATCTTGTATTTTCCTAGTTATTAGGATCTCTAAGCATAACATTTGTTTCATTCAGATCCTTCACATTCAAAATTCTCAACCATCATGGTTTTTCAATATTGACATCACGAGTCTTTGTACCAAAGATCGACGTGTCATTCATAATGCAACTGTCATTCTCAAATTTGTACTAAATGCACTTGTCACTTTCACTTTTAAAACCATGAGAGAGAACCAGTTTATTTATGCCATCGTCTTAGAGTCTATTTCAAATCTTACAATGATTTGTCTAACCATAGACTCCCTAAGCATGTTCAGCAATAACAACCCTATAGGTTGTCCCATGTAGATTTTCCTATCTAAATCACCATTCACAGAAACATGTTTAACAATCCATCTGACGGACAACACTAGCAATCAGAACATACATGGATGTTATTCTACATATGGTGAATAGATAACAAGAAAATTTACAATTTTTCCTTTTCGCTTAAAGCCTTAGCTATTAGGCGATCCTTATACTCATAAACTAATCCAATAGGTTTCACTTTTCTTTTAAGAATCCATTTATTACCCATGACTTCATTGTCAAGAGGTAATTCTCAAAGATGCCAAATCTTGTTCGATTCTATCGAGATATTACCCAAGGCTTTCAACCAAGAGGTAACTCTACAAGATTTTAAGTCTTATTAGACTCCAATAATTCCATTTTGTTAATAATGGATTCTCCCACAATTCTGCATCTTTATGGAAGTTCGAACTTCTA